AATATAATAAATATAATTATATTATTATGATATTATTTGTTACAATATTACTATTATATTATATTACGAGTCTGAATTTTAAATTGAGAAGATTGTAAATTTTAAATTTTATTAGGGGTATTATGGGTATTATGAAAGTTTCATTAATTGTACTATGTTGATTCCCGCACAATCTAAAAGCTAAAGTTGTCTTTAGGCTGGTTCTGATTTTGGCTGTAGATTCTTGAAAAATTCTTAAAAAAACACTTTTAAGGAGATTTACTAAACATTAAAATCAGCTTATGTTACAAATAGAAGCTGATTTTGAGAGAAAAAAACAATACTAAACTAAGCCTTAGTCAGGGTTAGGATGTAAGAATTGAACCCAAACCCGACTAACATGTCTGACCCGACCTAAAAATATAGGGTTATATATGTTTTTAAAAATTTTAGATTTAAATAGGCCCAACCCATAATTTGCGGGTTGGGCCGCAGGCCAGACAACTTTTCACCCGAGTTGCCCCGACCTGCCCGTGTAAGTAACCCTAAAAATAAGGACTACTTCGGACTGGACGGTTATCAAAAACAACACCCATTACCTTGGAAAGAATAGAAGCAACAAAATCATCAGGACTACTTTGGACTGGACGGTCAGAGACTGAAATTGAAGCCAAGACTCTGAATGACTTTTTCTGATGAGAATTAGAGCTTGATGAAACTGAAAAGACCAAATTATTCGTGGGTTTTGAGCGAAGATCAAAGATTTTTGTTTTGAGCCTCTGAACCCGGAGGGCAATATTGCCAAAGAAGAGGCTGAGGCAGCCATGGAAATGGTGAGACCGGGGAAGGGAGTGAAATGGATTTTGGAGTTGTCGAGTACAAGATCTTTTCTTGGTTTTATGCATCAGATGTGATTTTGTTGGTTGTGCCACGTTGGCATGATAACCGATGTGGAGCCCACTTGTTCACTATGTATTGGTGTTTAGGATTCCACGTTGGCAGATTTTATTTCCCCACCTTATCTGATAGACTGACAGCTATCTTCTTTTTCTGGTACAGTTTTCTGTCTTCTTAAAATTTCAGGTAATTGGCGCAAAAAAGTCTCTTACTCAGAGTAAATGGGCTGTTGGGCCTGGCATAAATGGCCCAATTTTTCACAATAAGGTTGCTGGCATAAATGGGCTGCTATTAGGTTTTCTTGATTTAGAGTAACCCGAGTAGTCCGAGTAACTTGAGCCTACCCGAGATCACCCGATAGGTTACAGGTTTGTGGGCTTATGAGGATATTGCGGCCTAAAATTTTCCTAACTCACACAGTGCAACTCGACCTAATTTTTCGGTCCAACCCGAGCCTACCCAGCCGAATTACACCCGCGGGATGAGGTGGAAGTTGCAGGTTCAATTTGGTATTATATATATTAAAATTATTGTAGTTTGGATAAGCTTCTTTATTATTTTTAAAAAAAAAAATCGTGGATTAGCCAATTCAGACGTATTTTGACCGAATTGACATGATTGGCAACTAAAATGGCGCCACGTAGGAGTATGCGACAGTAGGGCTGTCACGATAGCAAATGTCAAGGTCACCACTCACTTTGGCATCGCCAGACAATCACCGAACTGTCTCTCTCTGTCATCCATTTTCCCCTCCTCCTCCTCCTCAACCCAGTTCCAGCTCCAGAAACTTCTTCACTACTTTCTTCTACAAAAACCAAACCCAAATCTCAGAGCGAAAAATCATCTAATCTGAACAAAACCCAGGAGGATCAGTTGTTCGATACGAAGATGTCGTGGCAAGCGTACGTCGACGACCACTTGTTGTGCGAAATCGACGGCAACCGCCTCTCCGCCGCCGCGATCATCGGCCAAGACGGCAGCGTTTGGGCTCAGAGCGAAAACTTTCCCCAGGTACATCTCAGAAAATCCTAAATTCCTTTTCTTTTCCTGTTTCTTTTCATTTCACATGGTTTTAGTTTTATCTGGTTGTTTTAGATCTGAGGTTGATCGGTTTCGATTCCTTCAATCCGATCAAACCCCGGTTTTTTTTTCTGGGTTTCATATATTGACTATTGTTTCTGTGTGGCTGATTGCGTAAATTGAGCATCTAGATGCATGTACGAGATTGTTTTCAAGTGGGATGTGAGTTCTATTTATTTATCTTTATGGATTTGAATTTTGATCGAAATTAACTGTAATTAATTTTTACTTATTTTGTTGCAATTATAGTTTAAGCCTGAAGAAATAGCGGCGATTAATAAAGATTTTGAGGAGCCTGGAACGCTTGCGCCAACTGGATTATTCCTTGGTGGCACAAAATACATGGTCATCCAAGGCGAACCAGGTGCTGTTATACGAGGAAAGAAGGTGAGGATTTAGCATCTATGATGGGTTATGAAACACCTTCATATTATTAATTCAACAGCTTTATGTCGAATCATTTTGATCGTTGACTTCAAAATTCACACTCTATGTATTTAACGAGTCATATCATATAACACATATAGTTAATTGTTTAGAATAGTGAATCCGAAAACAATACTTTGAGTTGATTAATCATGTTAGTTGTGTCAAAACCGGTTCTGATCTGAAGCGCATATTGTGTACCCAAGCCTACTAACTCTGTGCGGGTTTCGAGTTGTGTTGTCACGTTACGAGACTCATGACTAAAATTGTCATCCCTTCATAGGATTTGAAGGTCTCAAATCCTGGTATCCTACTCAGAAATTCTTATTTGTATAAGAAAAAGTGACGTCTATGGGTATTTCACGTGTTCTCAGTTCACCTTGTTGCTCTTGGAGTAGTGGCAATCGAGAACCAGTGGTGGTGCTAGTTGATTCGGACTCCCCTTTTCATTAATTCCATGTGGTTTTACTGACTCATCTTTCGCGTTTTAGGGCTCTGGCGGTGTCACCATTAAGAAGACGAATCAGGCCTTGATCATTGGCATATACGAGGAGCCTATGGCTCCTGGTCAGTGCAATATGATTGTGGAGAGGCTTGGAGATTATCTAGTTGAGCAGGGCCTGTAGTTGTGTAATGTGGCTCTGGTAAGTAGGTTCATAATCATTACTTCTAGTACACAACATTATTTATTATTTGGTAGTTGGAACTCTTTTTCCTGCTTTGCTAGAAGGTTATTAAATTTTCTGAAATGAACTTTGCAGATATCACAGTTGATATTTTTACTCTAAAGTTGTGAAGAGCTTGGTGTGGAAAAGAAGTTATTGCCACTTGGAAAAGTGATCCTTTATGTATGGATCATTTGTTTTCTCATCCTCAAATCCCTGGAAAAGTGATTGGCTTTGTGAATGAAACTGTTCTGAATTTACGATTCTTTCTTTTTCCTTTTTATTTTTCCCTCCCCTTTCTTGGACATTCATTTTCTGTAAAAGTGTTATCTATGTTGAACGTATAGGCTGGAGTTTGTCTGCAACAATATTTGGTGGGTGATTAATGGAAAACTTTATGCTGTTTGGTCTGTTTTGTCAGACACATGGATCTTTGACTTGAAACCACATGTTCTTAATCTTAGTTGAGGATCTTTCATGATTCATATAGTTGTCTCTTCCCTTGCTCAATCACCAATGTTTTGTTAGAGAGAGAGAGAGGAACTTCTGGGATTCAGTCATTTACAACAAATCCCCTAATCACAGCACCACTGATTCTGTTGTTCCAGCTTTTCTCATGATTTACACAACTGGGTTACCTGATGTATAGCAATTATCACCTATCACCAGTTATTATAGGTTTAGATATAAAGATACGCTGGCACTTGTATCACAGTCTATAACAGGCAATCTATACGTGCTTTTCCATAATATTGATTTTGAAATTCACCAATTACAATGGAATGAATGAAGAAATGTGTTTTTTCATTTTTCTTTCGTTCTTTCTTCCCCCTTTTTTCGTTTCTAGAACCAGGAAGAAAACAAACAAAAAACGATTTTCCTTGAAAACTATGCGTTGTGTATAACACTAACGGGCCCAACAGCTGCGTTGCCAAGGACTTGGTTGGAAAACTATCGCCAAGGACTTGGTTGGAGCTCCGTTATGAAATTAATCTAGTAAGAGAGAGAAGGCTGAGTAAGACTTGAACTCATTCTTTGTTGGGAAAGTTCAGCAGAATTTGCTTATCAAGCGTTCTCATTTGAGGGACATATATGAGAAAAACTCTCATGCTTGGCCATGCAGAGGAATGGAGAAACCATCTTTGGTGCATTTCCTGGCCCTCAAAACTCTCCAACTTGAGAACTTCGCCGTTGCTACCAATAATCATTGCAAGAACATCTACCATATTTGAAATGATGGAAGCGGCTTCGGTCTCGCACAACAATCTCTCGGTTAACAATTTTAGAGATTATCTTTGTTGCATCATGGCAGTCCTTGCAAACTCGCAAGTTCTTGACAACGCGAATTGTTGTTCCTTCGATAGTACTAATTAACCCGAATGCAATTGCCAGCCTTTCACTATGAAAGGATAAAGCATCCTCTTTCTCTTCTTCATCTACATTGTGCACCACCAGATCCGTCTTTGGTCTGTACCCCGCTAGCTTCATCTTCCACCTAAGTTCTCTTATCATAGAGTAAATCTTGTCTGACTGAGGATGTGATAAGTCCCCCATGAAGAACTCATGTACTGTGTTATCCACCTCTATCCAACTACAACCGGGTGTTTTCACTCCGTTGTGTCGTATTCTCAGCCTACACTTAGCAGCATCTTTTGATCTACCCATTGAAGTGTACATGTTGGCAAGATAAACGTAACTTCCAGAGTGATCAGATTCTAGCTCAAGAATGCGATGCACAATACGTTCTCCTCTTTCAGCATCTTTGTAAATCCGGCAACCTCCAAGCAGTGCACCCCAGACAATGACATTAGATTTCACGGGCATTGAGATGATCAACTTCTCCGCCTCATCAAGGCGGCCAGCACGGCTGAGAAGATCAACCACACACCCGTAGTGCTCAACCTTGGGGACAATTCCATATGTCCGATCCATCACATCAAAGTACCTAAGCCCCTTGTCTACTAAGCCAGCATGAGTGCAGGCTGTCAATAACCCCATGAAAGTAATATCATTTGGCCTCATGCCGTGCTCAATCATTGCATCAAAGCGCTCGAGAGCTTCACTCGCGTGTCCATTCATGGCCAATCCTGTAATAATAACACTCCAGGATATCACATCTCTCTCCTGCATCGTGTTGAAAATCCTTCTGGCTTCTGTTATGCATCCACACTTTGCATACATATCCACCAATGCGTTGCCCAACAACGGACTCAATTCCATCCCTTTCCGCCTTATGAACCTATCAACCCACCTCCCCAAATCAAGAGCACCAAGATGAGCGCAAGCAGACAACACACTAACAAGCGTTATTTCATTCGGAACCAACCCCTCTACACCCTGCATCCGCCTAAACAACTCAATCGCCTCAGCATACTTCATATTCTGCGCATACCCGGCAATCATTGCGTTCCACGACCCCACATTCCTCTCCGGCATCTCGTCAAAAAGCCTTCTAGCCTCCTCCAAATGACCCGCCTTCGCATACCCACTCACCATCGTCGACCAAGACACCAAATTCCTCTCTACCATTCCATCAAACACAACCTGGGCATCACCAACCCGCCCGCTCAAACAATACCCGGCAACCAAAGTGTTCCAGCTCACAACATCTCTCACAGGCATCTCATCAAACATCTCGTGCGCAATATCAAAACAACCAATTCTGAAATAAAAAGCAACAAGCGAATTCCGAACAAAAAGATTCCCGTCACACCCATATTTAGTCACGACGCAGTGAACCTTCCGGCCCTCGGCGGCTGCCCCGAGCCCGGCGCAGGCCTTGAGAACAGAAGTGAAACTATACTCATCGGGAATCGGAGCATTCGGGTCGAGCAATTGGCGGTTAAACCAACGGAAAGTGTTGTCCCAGTCGTTGTGTTGAGCGAAGGCTTTGAGGACGGCGTTGTAGGCGAAGATGTTGGGGGTTGGGAGGTAGTGGGCAAAGATTTGGACGCCGTGGCGCACGTTAGCGTGGGCGGCGCAGACGCCGATGAGCTTGACGGCGACGAGGTTGGGGTCGAGGGAGGGGATGGGGTGGGCGGTGACCTGGGCTTGGATTTGGTAGAGATGGCGCATTGTAAGTTTGGCAGCGCATTTTAGCAGGAGGTGGGTGAGCCTTGGGTGGTTGTTGGTGTGGCCGTGGAGAAGAGCCAGGGCGAGTTGGGGCGACTGGGTTGACTCGGCTACGTAGTGAAGTGAAAAGAAGTTCGTGTTTGCAGTGTGGCGCGAAGGTGAGGAATTTTGTGTGCGGTCTAGCGCAGGGAAACGAAAACGAATCTTTATTTACAAGTTTATAACTTATAAGATGGTTTAATTCACCTCCGTATTGATAATATCAACATACACACAAATCAAAATAACATTGTCAAATAAGATCACTAATTACATCGATTAAAAGAATATGTAAGTTAAAATATCTTATTTTAATTAACGTGACATAATATTATTAACAAATTAAAAGAAAAAGATCTTATGATGCTTTCGGAGAAGCTTTAACTATGCCATGAGATCTTAGGTAAACAATAGTTCAAACATTTTTATTATAATATCTTCTCTTATAAAATTTTTAAAAAAAAATTTCCGTTTAAATTTACGAACTAAACGAACTCTAAATAATTTTAAATAACTTTCTATTATATTGAAATATCTAAAAAATATTATGTATTTTTTATAATATTAAATAAGTATCTTTTAAGTTCTAAAATAACATTTTCGTAGTATTATGAGATCATTTTTTTTAAGAAATAAAAATTTTCTTAATTAATTAATTAGAAACTAAAAAATTTCTTTAGAATTTAGTTTTGCAATGCTTCCGGTCAGTAGGATCAATTTTTGCATCGTTAAATCTAGTCAAAATTAAATGAGATTAAAAAAATATGAAAAATGTATAATTTTTTATACAGATTTAATCGCTAATAAAACTTCTGGTGGTCGGAAAAAATCCTAAAAAATATGGTAATTTACACAAATGATCATCAATCTTTTTAATAAGTGATAGTTTGGTCCTTAATTCTTTTTTTTTTACAAATCAACCCCAACCTCTTTAAACGGGTGTAATTTAATCCTTTTCGTCAAATTTTTAACAGATTCTCTGCCTTCTTTTTTCAATTAAAAGACAAAAATGCCATCAAAACCTCACACCATGGCCTTCTTCTTCCTCCTCTCCACCTCCAGCGAGCCCCATCCGTGACCAGCCCAGACCCGACGAGCCCCATCCCTAATGATCTGACCTCCAATGGGTGATTTTTTTTTTCCTGATGCTCCTTTTGAGCAAATGCAACCCATGATTCTTACCAATAATGGATGATTAATCTTGCATTTTTCCTGGGAAACCAAGAGTTTCCCGCGACTTCTCAATCTGGGTAGTCCTCAGAATCATCAACGAGTTTCAACAACAGAGAAGAAAAGAAAAAAATCAGGAACTTGATTACATGTTAAGAGCCCGGTCTCTGCAACAACGAGCGATTAAATTGCAATTCCCCATTTTGGCACATGTCCAAATTTTCGGTCACTTCAAAAAAAAAAAAAGATATACATATCTTAAGGGTCATATTTCACTTCAGCAACTGTATTCAAAGATAAACACAGAGAATAAGTTTACCCATGGCAGAATCTTCGAGCAAGTGTTTAACCATGAGAACCCGATTGAGGCAAGGGGCCGCCTCTGCAAATTACAAACCCAGGAAGAGGGAGAAAGGGATATTTTTAGTTTTCAATTTATTTGAAAAAAAAAAGAAAGAAAAATCGTGATTTTATGAAAATAACTCTTGTAAAAGGGTCACATGATGAGTCACGTGACAAATTTTGTTAAAAATTTGATGAAATTTAACGGTTTGAACTAAATTGTACCCGTTTAAAGAGATTGAATATCATTTTGCTAAAAAAAAATTAAAGATGAAATTGTCACCTAATAAAGTTAGAGACCATTTGTAAATTACCCAAAAAAAAGTTTTGCAATGCAATATAGACAGACGTGTCCAAAGAGCAAGACGCGTTGGTAGAACTTTCGAAGAGGCGGCGCACACTGGCATTACGCACGCGTGTTGATGGCGGGCGCTACTCACTCGATTCATTAAAACAAACGACGCATTTTATAATGAGAAGGCCGTCTCAAACTACGACACAACTCTCCCTCTCTTCTTCTTCTTCTTCTGTAGTTCAATATTAGCGAGCTAATTCCAGTGCTCGGAATGGGGATTCCGTCGGAAATGAGGGACTTTTGGGCGAACCGCAGAGAAGCCTCGCTGATTCCTTCGCCAATCGAAGAACGGAAGATCTCCAATGCTAGGCATTGCACTCAAGGTTGGTATCGATCAATTGTTTTTCTAGATTTATTCGCCGAGAAATTAAAGAAGATTTGGATTTGACATGAATTTTGAATTCGTTATTAGGATCAATTCGATGCAATTTTGTATGTGAAAAAATATAGGAATCGAAGATGAATTTGTAAAAATCCTCAGGTAGATTGATTTTGATCAAACTGTATGTTAATGTTATGGAATTTTTCTTTTTTTGTTCTTGTTTGCTGTCAAATTTGAAGATTACTCTGAGTTGTGAAGTTCACTCAGAGCTGTTGTTTCTTATTTTTCCACTCGGCTGGCATTTTCTCAGCAGCCAAACAGATAGGCGTGCACGCATCATTATTTCTCATGGTTGCGTAATTTTGCAGAAGGTCTCCGTGCCGGATTCAAGGCAGCTTCCATTGCGTGTGTCGCCAGTGCGGTCCCCACAGTATGTGTTTATGATTTTCTGTTCTTTGCATTTAGTACCAATTGATCTTCATTGAAGTTTCAATTTTTATTTCCTTTTTTGCTTATTGTTAGTGTATAGATCAAAGGAATTTTGGAGGGATGGGATATGGAAATATATAACCGTAAATTGTAGATGATAGGATCCACTATTTGTTTGGAACTACCGGGAGCTGCTCTCACTTTTGTTAACTTACATTCTCATTGCATGTGAAAATTCGTAAAAGCTTTAGGCAGCTTTTGTTCGATAACTGTTGTACTCATTTTGGGTTTCTCTCGTTGCTATTGAACTTGAGGGGGCGAGGTCATAAGGGATTTTGAGAGGGGCACTAATTCTCTAATGATGAGTATCCCCGGCTACGGGATACAATTAAAGACTCTTTCTTTTCCTCTTGGCCATGGCATATTTATTCTTTTATCCGCAAGTTCTGTTTTCTTGCCGCCAATGATAGCCATAAGGATTGGTGTTTTCTCCAGGCTCAATACAGTAGATATGTGCCAGAAAAAATCTTTGTTTGTCAAAGGCCCTGAATGTGTATTTTGCAAGAACTTCCCAAATGGATTTCAGTTTTTATACGGCGGGTTTAAGTGAGATTAAAACTGATGAACCAGTATGCTGATAATAGTGTTGTCATTATAATAATGACAACAAAAACTTGATTCCTATATGGTTATGAACTTTAGGTTCAGTTGAGTAGATCTTTGTGGCTGTGGTTATCCCCATCTAGTTAGTGTTGCTCTCTGTTTCTTATACAGACTTTATTTTGATATAGTTTATTTACCTTATGTTGTCATTAAGATAACACACACAAGGCTACTCCAATCTGTTATAGATTGTTTACCTTATGCTCATTATAATAATGTGTGCTTTGTATTCTCTATTGCAAGGTTTTAAAAAGCGCCTGAGGCGCACGCCTTGAGGCTCCCCTCGTGGCGAGGCGCTCGAAAAGCACCTCAACTCCTACGCCTTACAGGGTAGGAGTTGAGGCGTGCACCTCAGCCACTTGAGGCGCACGCCTTTGAGCGGCGCTTCAGGTGGTTATTGAGGCGTCCACTTCATTGGAATGGGGATTCTGGAGGGTTTATTAAACCCAAAAGATGAGGGCCCAACAGTTTTAAAAGGCCCAAAGTAGTCAGGCCCAAAATGAGTAGAAAAAAACCTTAAGAAAAGAAGTAGACCCACCAGCACAGCCGATCTCTCCGTCTTCTTCTTCGCACCTCACCTCTCATTCACGTGCATTATGAACCTTATGATATTAGGATTTGATAATTATTTAGTCTTTTTTACGTTTCTAGTAGTGAAATAGACTTTTCTTTATGTGGGTGTTTGGTTAAATTTCTTGTTTTTAATAATTATTAAGTATGGATTTAGTTTTTGTTACTATTATTTTATTTTTTATTTTTTTATAGGCATTTTTTGAGGCTTACGCCTCGCCCGTAAAGGAAAAACGCCTCGAGGCCCGATTCCACCTTTTAAAACATTTCTCTATCGCTTGGGAATAAATGATCACGATGTAGCAGGGTCGTGCACGTGCTAACTCTCTTCAAGTGGATCAACAAAGGCAAGGGCTTCCCCCCTCTTCCCGGTCAAGATAGATGGGAAGGAGCCCTATCAAGTAAAGGCCATAACCAGCCTTCTTATTTACGTATGTACACCTGAAAGGGTGGGGCCGCCCTTCCTCCTGCTAATCCGACCATTTTCAAACCTATCTTTTTCCTTGTTTGAGGGACTGGCTCTCTTTCTTTAGGGAGGCAGCTTCAAAGACCTTTTAGCTCTTAGCACTTAGCAGCTGTGATTCTCTTGCTTTGTGAGAGTAACTTGTTGGGGTGGACCACGAACGAACATTAGTTCAGTGGGAGGGAGAGAACGCACTCCCGTGAGAGCTCTCACCTCTCTAAGTCAATTCCAAACGGAACTAAAATCTTTCATCTTTCGAATGATTCAGTGCTCTTAGTCTCTCAAACAAGGAAAGGGGGCGAATAGCCTACTAAAATGTGCAAGCCAAAAAAAGAAGGGAAGATGTCTCGCCATAAATGGAATGGCTCCCCTAGTTGCGCTGCGCCTGCTTTCTTTGCTATTGCTTTTGTTGAATGTAAGAGGGATGAAGGGCGAGTACAGTCCCTTGATCCTCTATACCTGCCTGACTTCGGCATGAACTACGAGAATAACTCATCCCCTTTGATCCCGCTCAGGTGGGAATATTGGAAGCTAGGGAGCTAGGTGAATACCCCAATGACACCCTTCTTTAACCCGACCTGAAATGGAAGAGTTTGATTTCACTGTTATTAGCTTATTCAAAAGGAAGTGATAGGAAGATTCAAGAGCATAAAGCTACGTTCAGCCAGCCAAAAAGAAACTAGGCTAATAGCATTTCCCTCTTGGAGGATACTAGAAGCTCAGGACGGGTGGCAGTGCCCTTTGCTGTTTAATATGTAACAATTCTAAAAATAGAAATTACTCTTAAAAAGGACCTCGTGCAGAAAAGAAAAGAAAAGAGAAGGCTTGGGATGCATCTTAAAGGAAAACTAATATTGACATCAAATTAAAAAATAATGCATTAAATCCAGAAATTAAGGGGTATTATCGTTGTTGGTTTTAATTTCAGAAATTTTCAAAGACAATTTTGATTAGTTGAATTTTGATAAAAAGAGTGGCGTGCAATCTTAGTAACTACTATGTTTTCGTTGAAAAGAAGAATGTAGATCTTTTGTTTTATTTTTGATGGTTTTGTTTCCTTATGTTCTCAGTTGATTGCTGTTCGGGTGTTTCCTTGGGCGAAGGCAAACCTCAATTATACTGCTCAAGCCCTTATTATATCAGCTGGTATACTCAAAATTTTTAACTCGTCCTTTTCCATCAAACTTGTAAATGTAAAATCTTTGTAATGAGATTAATATGTTTTGCGGCTTGTTAACGGTCGAGTTCGTTGTTTTCATGTGGTTACAATGCAAAGCCATTCAAGGATTGTCAATTTCTTAGAACCCTAACGTGCTCCTTTTACTTGTTGAACAGCATCAATTGCTGCGTACTTCATCACTGCTGATAAAACTATCTTAGAGTGTGCAAGAAGAAATTCCCAGTTTGAAGAAGCATTGAGACGACAAAACTGATACGCGGCAATTCTCAAGTCTGTAAACTGCAAAAGTTCGCAATTCAGTACTTTGACATGGCACGTGGAGGCGCTGCTTGTGCCGATTAAAAAAAAAAGAAAAAAAAAACAGAGAAGGCTTGTTTTCTGTATTTATGGCAGCGTTTACTTCCCGCTTCGCCTAGTGTGTGTGTTTTTTTTCCTGGTCGAGCAAGTTAAATAGTAAAAACAATTTGGGCTTCCTCTCTTTTCCCCCTTATGGGTGGTAATGAATAACAAAAGAGCTTTATGTAGTCACTTTGGACGCATTGTTACTTTTGCTTTTGAAGAGCAAACAGAGTGGATCTTCAATTGTCATGCGCGATTATGCAATTCAGTAATGCTGTTATGGTCTTATACATGTTCTCCTGAATGGTTTCTGAACAAAAACTACCCAAAGTATGGAAGGGTTTCTAGTGTCTTGTTTAAGGGTTTATTTGTTTTATACATTTAAACTCATAGTTTTAATTCTGTTATAGTCTTTTCTTTTAATAAAAAATTTAAAATTTAAATGTCAGAATCAATAATTATTGATTTAAACGCATGAAGTAAACGAGCCTTAATTGTTTTTAATATAAGAAACATGTTTATTCATCCAAGTCTATGTCATTATTTTCGCTTTCAAAGCTATGGCATTTTTATTCTAAATCAGCTTCATAAGAAATCATCCTTCACTAGATGTTGTTGAACTATAAATTTTGAGGGTTGATTACGTCAAATTGGCCTTGCAATTGTAAAATTACGTTAAAAAAATGCAATTTGAGTTAAGTTCATGTTCTTTTAAGTTTGAACTCAAGTTTGAGCACGAGTTTGGAACTAAAACTCGAGTTCAAGTTTCTCCTTCAACTCGAGTTCAGAAACTTGAACTCAAATTAATGAACGGTATTTTTTCTATTCTTAAAAATGCTATAATTTTTTCGTTTTAATTCTGATTGAGATGATTTTTTTTTCTATGCGTTGACAACGAAAAGACGAATAAAACCACACCCATATACGCTATTAAAATTTTCCATCATCATTGAGTTTTTATTAAAATACTATCTAAATATAAATTTCAGTTTTGACTCACTCAAATACAAACTCAAAAAGATTCTTATCTCAAACCATAACTCAAATGTACACAACTAAACACAAACTCAAGTTATAACTTCAACTTAAGTTATAACTCAAACTCAAATCAAGAATGCTTAACTCAAAAATGTAAAAGAACTACCCCAAAGATTTTTATGACAAACACGAAGAACTTTGGGGCTGTTCTTTTGTCCTTTTTGAGTTAGGTGACTGAGTGTAGATTTTGAGTTGAGTTTGAGTTATAACTTGAGTTGAAGTTGTAACTTGAGTTTGTGTTTGGTTGTGTACATTTGAGTTATGATTTGAGATAAGAATCTTTTTGAGTTTGTGTTTGAGTGAGTCAAAACTTGAATTTGTATTTAGATAGTATTTTAATAAAAACTCAATGCTGATGGAAAATTTTTAATAGGGTATGGGTGAGGTTTTATTCGTCTTTTTGTTGTGAACGCATAAAAAAAATCATCTCAATCAGAATTAAAACGAAAAAGTTATAGCGTTTTTAAGAATAGAAAAATTATTATTCATTAATTTGAGTTTGAGTTTCTAAACTCGAGTTGAAGCAGAAACTCGAACTTGAGTTTTAATCTTAAACTCAAGTTCAAAAAGAATATAAAATTAAATAAAATTATAGCTTTTTTTTTTTTGAGTTTTTAACTCAAAAAAAGAGCAGAATAACCCTTGTTTGTATGGTATGAAACAGTACTGAATAATCATATGATGTCAGATAAAAAAATATAAAAAACAATGTAAAAAGTTGATATAATTTGATAAAAATTAAAAATATATACATTTTTATATTCTGCTATAGAATTCTCTAGAAAATATCGCCAAGTGTCCTAAATCGTGAGACATCACCTCCTCACAGGTCGCACTACAAAAAAGTGTTTTTTCTTCTACGGATCAAGTTAAAAGAGCTTTACTATACACTGGAAAACGCAGCTGAGATGACGAGACATGAATACTTGGTGTAGGGACTCCAAGGTTCATATTCCATACATAACCAATAAAACTAATTGCTAAAAATGGTCGCATAGGCCAAAAGATACTTGGCAGCTGACTTTGAGATAAAAACTTTCTTGTAAAGTTAGTGACAAAATTGATAAAGTCTAGAATCTTTTTGTGATGATGCTTTATGATAAGTCAGAAGTGGCGATGTTAATTACATTGGACTTAGTGCCTTGAAAAAAAATTCCCTTTGACGTTTTCATAAACTTTGCATCAATTCTTAGGAATTTATCTTTAACTTTTACCAAACCGTCCAAGTTACTCGTCTGTAGACTTTTGATGTATGTGATATATTCTCTAAATGAGGACATAAAATGATTTAGATTACGGTTTAATTTTTAATTTACTCTTAAAATAGGCATTTAATTAATCATATTATATTACGTCATCTAATCAAATTCAAATAAAAAAATATGTGTCAATTAAAAAGTGTTATTTTTTTTAACTGGCGTAATGTAATATTATTGGTGAGATGCTTTTTAGAGTACTAAAATTAAATAACCAACTGAGTCATAAAAAATGACTTATAAAATTATGAATAGTGACGCATAAAAAAGTGTCTTGCATAGCTTCCTCCAAGCATTTTCATTGGATACAACAATCTAATTAAATAACAGAAAATATACTCAAAGAGAATGTCATAAAGCAACTAAGGAAAATATTAAAACAAGTAAGTCTTATCTATGCATGAACTATAACGCACTCTTGTATAGTTTCCTAACATCAGTTATAAATATGCTCCATAGAAAGGCCTAAATTGATAAGATAGCAAAAGGGAGCTTCCTTCTAGTTTAGAACATGGGTAAAGCATTTGATATTTCAGTTAAAGCAGGCCGTGATTTCAATCTCAAAATTATTGATTACTGGAATATCAAGGAAGATTGCAGTGCCAATTTTCAGTTCAAATCAACAACTTGCAGCTCTGAAGAATCGACTAGTTGCTCCATTGGATCAGCATCTTCATCAGACATGCTTGCTGATGATGCATCATCATCATCAACTTGCTCATCACCAGAGAGTCATGATCTGCATGAGTTTTCCGAGCCAATGACATCACAACTTCCCATAAAGTAAGTTTTTTTTTTTTTTTCAACTCAAAACTTGACCAGATCTGTAGAGATAGCCTAACAGTAATTCCACGTCTAAAAAAAACCAACAAATTTCATGCTCAAAAAAAGACTTTTGGTCTTCATTTTATTTGCAGAAAAGGGCTCTCAAAGTATTATAATGGAAAGGCGAGGACTTTCACATCACTTTCAGAGGTGAAATGTGTAGAAGATTTGGCTAAGAAAGAAATCCCTTTTGTGAAGAGAGGCCATAGGCCGTCATTTCAGTCCCCAAAGGCTATCATATCAAAGAAAAATACAAGAAGAGGTTCTGCCACTTCTTTAGTATCATCCAAGACTTTGAGCTGTCGTTTCAATTTAAATTGCAAATAAACGAGCACCAGATACTACCAGAAACTTTTTGGGGGTGAATCTTATGAGTTATGAAGATCATCAACCTTTTGGGGCCTCTTTTTTCTTTAATTATTTAATGTGCATTTAAGAACATTTAATCCTTTCTGAAAAGCCCAGGAAATATTCAATTTAGTAGGGCACATTGGTACAAAAGAATGTCTCTGTAAAACTTGCATACCATTTGATTCGATATTTTGCAATCATTTTTATTGCTTTCTCCTGAGTAGGAGAGACAAGGGGTTTGGTGTATGGACAACACACTGCAAGGGGAGCCATCATTATGGCGGGGGGGGGGAGTATTGTTTTTTTTTTTTTTTTTTTTTTTTTTTTTTTTTTTTTTTTAACGGGGAAACCAAGACATTCCATCTAGAAAATAACCAGAAAAGCTGATTCTTGTTGGTAGTTTAGGTTCCATCATCAACGCAAAATGTGCTTATATTCACCAACATTGATCCATTGCTCCGTAGAAGGCAGACAAATGCAAGCACATTATGAATAGAATATTTGGTGCTTTTGTCCTTTATGGTTGGTCAAGTTATTCTCTAAGAGCTCGTTTGCTTCATGCGTTCAAATCAGTTATTTTTAATTTTGACATTTTAAATTTAAATTTTTTGTGAGAAAAAAACACTATAACAAAATTAAAATCATGAGTTTAAACCCATGAAACAAATGAGCCATGATTTTTTAATTTTTGGTTAATTAAACCTGGTTAATAGAGCATTGTAAAATGCTCCCAACTTGATTTGACAAGTAAAATGTTGACATAATTGCCGTCATGCAAGTCACCTGAACCCAGTTGAAGGTAGAGAAAATGTTGAAATTTCGTATGATGACAGAACACATCACATTCACATCATATGTATCATGGTATTTCCTTCCAAAAATATGAGAGCACTTTGGAACACTTTGCCAAAATTAACATATCTGGAGCAACTTGCCAATTCACTAAAGCTTCAAGGGCAAAAATGCCAAAAATCCTTTTAAATAATATAAGTAAACCGATACTTTATTTGGGATTTTCCAATATGTAAAAGGAACAGTAATAAATGCTAATTCATAAACATCGCTGACGAGCTTTTGTCCCTTTCTCCGTTGTTAATAATCATTCTTAAAATTTTGTAAATGGAGATCGACTTCATCATCATGTACAAACATAGATGATTTCAATGTGAAAATTGAAGAAACTTCTCAATTTTTTTGGGTGGGCTCGCCCAACAATTCAATTGAGAAGAAAGAATCAACAAAATTATTTAGGAGAGTCAGCCTCCTCAATTGTATAAGGTATTCTACTCTCAAGTCTCATCCTGCTTCCTAGCAACTGAAGCTCAGAATGCATGCCGGAAGATAGCATCAGCTACGCCATCTTCATCGTTGCTGATGCCAATTACATCCGCCACTGCTTTTGTCTTCGCCGATCCGTTACTAAGAGCAACGCCTAAAGAAGCCAGCTCAAGCATTTCGACATCATTTTCCCCATCGCCAATGGCCATTATCTAGAAGTAGGACCAGGCATTGGTGGAACCAAGATTAGGAAATGACCGCGGAATTACAAAGAAACAGTGGCAACATATTGGTTAAAATCTTATCTAAAGTATTCCATATAACACTGATCAACATTAAGCATATCTTGTTGACCAGCTGTTTTTTGGTCCAAGGACCACCAAAGTTCAAGTATTCTCTTGAAGTGACCACATGTGGAAGTTTGGATCCTTGCTACCAAAGTAATATCGTGTAATACTTCATATATATTAAATAACAATGTTGTTATTTCTTTCCAAGATCTTCCCGCTCTAGAGGAAGAACTTTGAGAAATTTTAATTAAAAAAAGATCTAAAACAACTTCCTTTGTCCGTACCTCCTTTGGAGAGACTCCCAAATGATCAAGCAGCATTTTCACTCCATTCCCTTTCGAGGTTCCGGGAGGGACGATTTCGAGCATGTCTGCCTGAGCTTGAACAACATTGGCACGATCTCCGGTTGCCTCTGACCAGTATGGGCGCAAAATAGTATCCACTCCCTCAGCACTGTCTATGAAGAGCACTTTCTGTACATCCAAAGGGCATGCACATAAGAACCAAAAGCAAAGAGATTTATTATGTTGTTAAATCAGAACCAAGTTTAGGACCAATCGCGAAGGCTCTTAGAAAAGTCTGGATGTGAAAATAATCAAACATGGACGCTCATGGAAATTGTTTGCATTTAGAACATATAAAGACTTAATTTCCAATTGCAGCCTCAAACAAAGTGTTCCCAAAAGAGTTAAAAAAACAAAAACAAAAAAAAAAGCGTAAGAGCAACAAAGAAAATTAAGAGTAACCGTCTTATACAACAAGTGAAAATGGAGCATCTCCTATATGCTATAGGAAGTGTTTGCATTGGCCTCATGTATACTATTAGGCGCATTGTTATCAGCCATACCAAGGTGGCCCATAGAGAGAGACGTACACAAATACTCAAAATTATGGATAATTCTCAATATATGTAACTAGCCTAGCCCTTTTCAAGTGGGGGAAAGAAAAAAGAGATTTAGCCTAGCCTCCTAGCTAGGGAAGAAGAGAGAGAGAGAGAGAGAGAGAGAGAGAGAGATAAGAATACCTGTATGTCAGCAGCAGCCAAGAGCTGATCCACTGAAGAAACTATCTCTGCCTGTAAACATTGTCATCTTTAGAAGTTCCCATGCGCACTAACAGATTATTCCTCTTCTGTTTTTGTTTCGTTTTGTTTCTTGTTTATTTTATTTTTTGCCAAACCATTAACAAAATTCTTTAGAAAAGAAAACAATTTTGATAGAAAAAAGTAGTATGATCTGGATGCGTGATGAAACTATTGATACCTTTGGCTCATGATATGTAGTGTGCAGTGACTCTACCAGCGGGTGATCAAATAGAGTTAAGCAACGACCCTCACTGAAGGCAACTAGAGGAATTTTCTTCTCCCAGGAGTAAAGGCATGCCTGCACGTTGTCAGACATAAATTTTTCAGCAAACCGACAAAATCTTGCATGCCAATAATATACGTAAAGTTAAATGATGTTTACTCCACTTTAAATTGAAAATTCAAACCTCAAAAACAGCAGTTTAACTTCCGGGTTAAGAATGAGTTTTAGTCAACTCCAAATGGGAGATGGTATAAACTGACTTAAAACCCAACTGTCTTTCACTCCCACAGTCATCTCTCGGTCAAACTCAACCCCTTTCCCCACATCCATCATCATTTAAACTGGTTCAATGAGAGAGCTTTAAAAACTTGAGAAAATTGGCCAGGATACGACAACTGAGTCACAGTGAATTTAGCACATATGTTCCAATAAAATTCATGAGCCGCTATTTTAGTCTACTTTAGTCTGTTGATGTTCTTGTGATATCCTATGCGGTAGTAATAACTGTTTAACTGAGATCTAATTATTGTTAATATATTCATGAAGAGTAGGCTTCTTTTCTTTAATAAACGAGTAACAACATATGTAGCTAACAATAAAAGAGAACTAATTACTATCAACTGTCAAATTATGAGAACCATTACCTCTCTACAGATAGTTGGATCCAAATTCCTTCTATAAATTTCCCGGCCTTGTCTGCCATAAACAAGTAGTCCCTGGAATCAAGTAGAGAATGATAAGAACACCGTCTGGTAATAATATTAACAATCTGGGAACCTTACGGAAATGGCTTTAAAAAAAAAATCCAACTACATCATGCACTTTTTTTATTGAAGTTTGACTGAGCATTTTAAAAAATAAGCCAGTAAAAATCTACCATATACGTTTGGTGTAGATTGGGTCCAAATCATAGTATGTATTTTTGTATTTTAACATAATTACTAATTATCTCTTCTTTTTTTAATGAGGAGAAAAAAGACCTAAACGTTTCTATTTGGCTTGTAGGGAAGACAAACCTGTATGAAAACCCCTGGAGAAACTTCTGAAACAATACCACCTTTCCCAGCTAAATCTGCCATCTTGAAAATGCTTATAACAGCTGCACGAGTCTGTTCTCGGACACCAACCAGTGACCAATTATTAAAGCAATAAACAGTATTACAAATAAATCAAGTATGTTAATGTATTTATCTAATACAATGTAGAATAATGGGAGCAAATTTCCAGTTATGTTGATAAAGAAGCCTTTTCTTACTTTTCCAGTGGCAATTACAACTTTCACACCCCTTGATGAGGCCTCTTTCAAAGCCTTGGCATTTGTTGGACTAATTAGACTTTTACTGTTTAGCAGTGTACCTTAAATGTCAAGAAAAGTAAACACATTAAAAAGGAAAAAAGTTGTGATGAGCTGAAAACGAAGATATAAACTATCATAAGCTTGCTCTCACCATCCATATCACAGAAGATATAGCTGAACTTTGGTTTGTAAAACCGAAGGCTGCCTTCTTTCTTCCTGTCTTTTGACAATTCACACATAAGTTATCTCTAAACTAAATAAGGTTATAGCAAGAAAAAGAATGGAAGATATGAATGTCAGAATTTAATATCGCCTAGAAGACAAATGCTATGATCCTTTGACTGATAGAAAGTCAAATTACCATCTGAATTATCCGTATGAGATTTAGCATTAGTTTCGGCATCATACGCACTCTGAATTAGTCCTTTCCCTTTCCACCCGAGACTTTTTAAAAGAAGTTCCTCCTCCTTCTCCATTTCCACTTCAGCCTCTTCACTAATCTCATGATCAAATCCCAAAAGATGTAACAACCCATGTACCTGCAGATGGCTTAAGTAATTACCTTATCAATTTACATAATGCCTATTAGGAAAGTAAGTGTACCTCAGTAAATTAGTTTCTCGACAATTAACTTGCTTGCCATCTTGATTTATTGAGTATTATAACATAAAAGGAAACTCAAATTATGTTGTTATACCAACCATGAGAATTCGTATCTCGTCAAGAAGAGTGTGCCCTCTTTCCTCTGCTTGTCTTGCTGCTGTCTCAACAGAAATTACAATGTCACCTAGCATAAGCTGCAATAGTTATAAAAGCATGTAAAGTTCTATTAGTCGAGTTATATCCTTGGTCTAAAGAAAAGGAAAGAAAACTTTGAGTGCTTACAATTGGAAGGTTAAGACCAGGCATGTGATCAGACATTGAGAGAACATCAGTAGCATGATCTTCGTCCCTCCACTCCTTATTAAGTTTGCAAATGAAGTCGTCATTGCATAGAAGCACAGACAACTCAACACTTTCAAATCCACCAACATCACTTATAGCATTATCTCTTGTTTTATGCGTTGAATCTACCAAGCCATCAAATGCCAACTTCATCGCCATTGGCGCATTTAAACGGAGCATTTCTGCGATGCTCTGCAGTGTAGTCGTGAAAAACAAAAAAAATGAAAAAAAAAATCATTTTTTATGGTATGCAAAATGCTTGTTGTGCTCAATGGTCAATAGGAAATCCTCATTCTCCAGAGGAAAGGAAAACCAGCCTCCCAGCTAAATATGCAACGTCTTCCTTTGTGACTCCTACCCATTACCCTCCAAAACTCTCCCATCCACATAAACATCACAACACATACTATTTATACAACTTACTCGCACTAATAAAAAAAATCACACGTAAAAAAGTACTTAAAAAATAAGTAGTGATGATTTCCCACTTGCTTTCACCTAGTCGTAAAAGGATCTAATAACAAAGAGACTGTGATATTCAAATGTAAACTTTAATATCCAAGTTTCTAATGCTTAGCATTTTCAGTCAGAAATTGCACAAGAAAGGATCCTAAAAAGTACTAAAACATCAGCAGTGATGATTTCCGACTTGCTTTCACCTAGTCGTAAAAGGATCTAATAACAAAGAGACTGTGATATTCACATGTAAACTTTACTATCCAAGTTTCTAGTACTTAGCATTTTCAGTCAGAAATTGCACAAAAAAAGGATCCTAATTAGTGGCGATGCCTTCCTACATTATGTAAAGTAAAACATTACACATACATTATATGCAGATATACAAACTATACATACATATCTGTATTCATAGGTCAACTTCAACATTGAAATTTTCAAAATTTAGCACTTTCAGTCTGAAATTGCACAAAAAGGATCCTAATTTTTCTAAAGCTAGACATGATACACATACATTACATGTAAATATACAAATAATATATACATATATCAGTATTCACATGTCAACTTCAATATTCAATTTTTCAATATTTAGCATTTCCAGTCTCAAATTGAACAAAAAGATCCTAATTTACGTAAAGTTAGACATCATACACATACATTATATATAAATATACAAATTATATCATATAATACACACACACACATATATATATACACACACACATTATATTACCAAAATTTCAGGATCATCGGGCAAATCTTCTTCGATGCAAATGCTAACACAGAGCTCCAACTCCTTCTCCTTGCTCTTGAGCTGTCTTCTCCTCGGGAGCTTCCGATAGTCCCTCTTCTGCCTCTGCGCAGCCCATGCTCGTCCCGAGCAAGGCCTCGGAGCCCTCCGGTGCTCTCCACAAAGCGCGTGCAATCGCCGGCCGAATAGCGACGATTTCGGCAGCGAAGAAGGGGCGTCGAAGCCCAGGCGGCGCGAGGACACGGCGGCTGAGGGGTGGAGGAGAACGGGGACGGCGCGTAGGAGGGCACGCGCCATCCGAGCGGCGGAGGGCGATGGGAGGAGAGGGGAGAGGCGGGTGAGCATATAGGTGGACTTTTGTGGAGCGCTATGACTACAAGGCTCTAAAGAAGCTCAATGCGGGTTGGTTTAGTGACAGTGACGGGGGCAAAAACGAGTAAATTGCAGTTTGCACCCTTATCTTTTCGGTTTTCCACATAATACAGTTGAATTTTTAACTTCAACAACTAAGGCCCGGTTCATTTCGCTAATTCGAGTTTAGAATTCAAGTTTTGTTACAGTAAAAAGCTCTCAGAAACACTCACATCTAATTTTTTGCTACAGTAAAAAGCTCTCGCACAACATCACATCTCAACTCGAATTAAAAACTCGAATTAGCAAACCGAACGGACCCTAAACTTTCAAATCAGTAGTAATTTAGGTCGAATGGTTAACGGACATTATTGACGGTTTGAGACACAAAATAGGTACATGAAATGGTATTAAAATGATAATCTTTACTTTTGATGTGTAAATATTTAATTTGATAATAGTTAGTTAATTATTAGACTTCAATGGTTATTAATTTTAAAATCCAATGTTAAAATTGAAAATTTGGGATGCATTGTGTAAGAAATCAAAATTTATAGTGCAATAATGTAATTTACTCTAAAACTGGGGTTTTACTTCTATCCCTCAAGTTAGGGTCCTTCCATAGTATCGGGTAGGGGTGTAAGAATTGAGTCCAAACTCGCCCGACCCGACCCGAAAGCTAAGTTTTTTTTTTTTTTAATTCGGATTCAAATAGTCCCAACCCACATTGTGCGGGTTAGGGGCGGGGGCGGTCTTTTTTGAACCCGATTGCCTCGACCCGACCGGTTGTGTAAGTGTAACCCTAATTCCTAAATCTATCTAACACTTCGTCTCTTCGCTGGCCTCCCTCAGTCCCTCTCAGTCTCTTCGTCTTTTTGTCTCACTCTCAGTCTCTCGCCTCCCTCCTCCAATGTCTCTCGCCTCCCTCCTCCTCTGTCTCTCACCTCCCTCCAATCCTCAGTCTCTCGCCTCACTTCACTCACGCCTCGCCTCCTCCTTCGTATTCTCCGTTCCACTTCACCCTAAAAGCCTAATCCTCACGCGTCAACGCCTCGTATCCGGCTTCGCATCCACTTCATGCTAAATCCCTAATCCTTACACTCGTCGTCGTTCTTCATTCTCCGTTCCTCTTCTTCTTCTCAGTCTGTCACCGTTCCTTGCCGTTCCTCACACTCGCCGTTCCTCACCGTTCATCGTAAGTTCCTCTTCTTCTCCCTGTTTTTCATTTTTATTTTTATTTTTTATTTCTCTCTAAATCATAGCAAACCAAACATAAACGGTTTTGTGAAATTTGAATCTTTTTGTTGAAATTTATTACTTTGTGAATTGGGGTGTTTGTTTGTTTCATTAATTTGAATTTTTTTTTATTCGATTGGCTGATTTGGGAGGAAGGTAGGACATTTCCTATCTTTTGCAATTTTTATTTATTAATATCCATTAATGGACGAAAAATGATCAATATAACCATTAAGGAAATAAGTAAATGTGAATTTGGGTTTGCCAAATATGTTTCAACTTTTGTTTTAGGCTCAATCTCCATTAGCATTTATCTCACGACCTAAATAGTTATGGCTCAATGCGGACATTTTTTTTTTCTTTTAATCGTGTGAGGTTCTTACAATGGTTTAGAAACGAATGTGGTTTGGAATTCAGGGTTTAATATTTTGAAAATGAATGTGGTTTTTTTGAAAATGAATGTAGATTTTTTGATAACAAATGTGGTTTTTAATGCAATTTTGATGCTGGTTTCTGCTTTTTTATTTCCAACCGAGGAAGAAGAGTGAAGACTGAATAGGTATTTTCAGTCTATACTTTAGTATAGACTAAAGAGGCAATTGAAAATAGAAAGGTTAGACTTTTTCTTTTATGCTGGTTTCTACTTTTTTTGTTTTATGTTTTTGATTTTTTGTTTGTTATGTGATATATTATGTTTTTCAATTTTGAAAACATAAAGGTTATATGTGATATATTACGCTTAGTCTCAATTACATGTTATCTGTTTTTAGGTTAATTTGTGTGCTAGATGGAAAAATTTATCATCCACCCGACATAAACTTCTGAAAGCACTTACAAGTCCTCTGCTGAACAGAAAGCGTCTCTATGCCTAAAGAGGTCATTACCTTGCCCACTCTCACACCCAGCCCTACCCATGTACCTAATTTGGGCACTAAAATTGAAAACGAAAAAGAGGAGGGAGACAGTAAAAAGAGGAAGAAGTCACAAAAAAAGTCTCATGTTTGGGATCATTTCAAAATCATAGAGGGTGAGGATCCAAATGAGCCTAGGTATAAGTGTATCTATTGTGGGGCAATATATGCATGTGATAGTAGGAGACATGACACCAGTAGTATGAAGGTTCACATATAAAAGCAATGCAAGAAATACCCACATAGGATCCAAAACAAACGGTAAAAAACTATGAGTTTCCAAACAAACACTGAAAGTGGCAATAATCTTGTTGCTATAGGCTTTAACAAGGAGCATTGTAGAAAAGTGGATTAAACTATTTATTTTATATGGACTATTTTGCTTCTCAAGATTTTATTTCATCTCCTTATTGTTTATGCTTTTGGACTGTTAAAAGAGGTATGGAGTCATAGATTAAAATTAGTTTTTACCAACTCGAGTAACCCGATCCTACCCGAGGTCACCCGAAAGGTTGCGGGTTTGTAGATTTAAGAGAGTGTCGCGGCCCAAAATTTTCTCAACTCACACTGGTCGAGTAGGCTCAATTTTTCGACTCAACCCGACCCTATCCAACCGATTTACACCCTTAGTATTGGGAGTCTAGTTCACGTGTGGTATTAGTTCATAAATTTTTTGTTTTATTTTCAATTTCGAGGTTCAAAATTTTACATAATTCGATAGTTTTGCATTAGGGTTTCACATTAGAGCCATGCACAATGACGTGGCTAGAAATCTTTTTCCAAGATAGGTTAATTATAACTACGACAAAATATAGTCAAAACCAATTGTTAAGGCATTACAACAAATGATAAACATTGTAAAATTTATCTTTAAGAATGCACGAGTCTAAATTTTTACTTATTATTATTGATTAACAACATTTTATTAGTATAGTTATTTAACTAAAAATGTTATTAATTAAGAGTAAGGTATAGAAATCTTGATTCATGTACTTGTAAAATGTATTTATCTCGTTTTTACCTTACAAATTATATCATATGGTTTTCATGCATTAAAAACGTCGCATGACAACTTTATTTTCCAGACTATTGGAACCATTATCTTTTTTTATTATTATTTTTTCTTTTCCATTCCTGTTAAGTTAAAAAGATTTTTAAAGTGTGAGGCCCTTAAATATATTAGGGCATGTTCTTTTATTCAAAAAATTCAAAAAAATACAACTCAAGTTTCAACTTTATTTAAGTTCACGTTCTTTTAAGTTTCAACTTTATTTAATTTTACTCAACTTTATTCAAGTTATAACTTCAACTTAAATTATAACTCAAATTCAACTAAAAAATTACACTCAAATTATATTCTAAAAGAACAACCCCTTAAATATTAATACATTTTTTTTATTGAGCTTATTTAGAAAGTAACTTCTAAAATTTGGAAGTATAAGAGTAGATTTATTATTATTATTATTATTATTTTTTAGTTGGGGCTCTGGGGGCGGGGGCTTGAGCCCCCTTTGGGCCTTAGCTTTTTGTGTCAATGGCTATGCACGGTTTACTTAAAAAACTGTCAGACCCAACAGATTTATAATGTTGATCTGGTTAGACATTAGAACCGTTTATTGGCAACCTAAATTGGATTGGTCCGTGTTAAAAATACATGTTCAAAATTACGAAACAATTACATAATTTGTTCATTTAGACTTTGTATATTCGTATAGAAAGTTAATTTTAATGGATTAGATGTAGTATATGATTTTTTTAGTTTGTTATATTTAATTTTTATCTAAATTAAAAAAATACGAAATATAGTATTAGTAACTAAAAAAACCTTTTAAGAAAAAGTCCAAACAACGGTTAAACCATACCATAACTTTATGGTATGGTGTGTTCCTAATGTCTGAAACGGCTGCATACAAAATATTTTCCAAACTGATAAAACGGTCCCGTCTAAAAAATTTTATGGTTTGGAATCGGACCTGACCACAACACTAATTCACATTTATGGTCCATTTAGTTCGCTGATTTAAATTTTTAATTCGAGTTGATATGTGACTTTATATGAGAGTTTTTTATTATAGCAAAAAAGTTAGATGTGACTGTTTTTTAGAGCTTTTTACTATAACAAAATTCGAATTCTAAACTCAAATCGGTAAAATAAACGGGGCATAAAAATCCTTAAAACATATCAACTAACCTTTAACCACATATTCAATAATTTTGTGGCAGCATCAGGCTAATATAATACTAAACCACACGGTCTATACTTCTCTTTTTAATTTAATAAAATATATTTCTTTTTTTAAGGGATAAAATTATTTTAGTATCTCGTGTTATAACGAAATATATTCTTAGTATCCTATGTTTTTAATAATATTAAAACGGTACTTTAACGTTTTTTAAAAACATATTCTTAGTACCCTGAAACTGATTTTTGAGACTTAAAATGATCTTGGTGCCATTCTATTTAATTAACTAAAACATAATAAATCTAAAAAACAAATCATGAATTTTTTGATTTTGTTGTTTTCTTTTAAATATTTTATTGTTTTAAAATATTTTCATATTTTTTTAAAATATTGATTTCTATATAATTAATAAGAGAGGTAGTTTAGACATTACATGTTCTAAAAATCAATTTCAAAATATTAAGAAAATGTTTTTAAAAACGTTAAGATACCGTTTTAATATTATTAAAAATATAAAGTACTAAGGCCCCATTCATTTCACTGATTCGAATTTAGAATTCGAGTTTTACTATAGTAAAAAGCTCTCAGAAACAGTCACATCTAACTTTTTTGTTACAGTAAAAAATTTTAACATAAAATCACATTTCAACTCAAATTAAAAATTTAAATCAACGAACTAAACAAGTCCTAAGAGTTCACGTACCAAATTGATTTTATTCCTTTATTTAACTCTAGTGCCAAATATTATTTTATCTCCGTTCAATGTGGTTAGTTTCCAAATATTATTTCATTAATAAAAAAAGTAGTTTTTTCGGATAATTAGAAAATAAAACATAGTTTCCTATTATATAGCACTAAAGAAAATATCCATTTTTTTTTGGACAGAACACTTTTTTTAAGGGTTGGACAAATCATTTTTATTTGGAAGAGAATGATGCATATTTCTGAATATCACAGTCGAAAAGAAGTTAAAATATTTTTTTTGGTAACCAAACTTTGGTCTCGTTTATTTCACCGATTTGAGTTTTCAATTTTAAGTTTTTACAGTAAAAAATTCTCAGAAAATGTCACATCTAACTTTTTCTGCTACAATGAAAAGCTCTCAAAAAATGTCACATCTCAACTCGAATCCGTGAAGTGAACGATGCCTTTATGTGCGTGTTTTTGGAACCGATTTTAGAAATGGTTTTCACGTATTTTAAAAAATAAAAAATAAAAAAAAAGAAACTCGAATCCGTGAAGTGAACGATGCCTTTATGTGCGTGTTTTTGGAACCGGTTTTAGAAATGGTTTTCACGTATTTTAAAAAATAAAAAATAAAAAAAAAGAAACGACGTTTATTTAATAAATGTTTTAAAAATAAAAATAAAAATGAAAATAGTGAGAATGATTTTTATTAAGCTTTTAGAAATACAGTTGAAAGTTGTTTTTATTTTTATGTTTCATTTTTTAGTACTTGTCAATAATATTATAATACATTAATCAATAAACACGATTTTATTTTTTTATTATACTCAAAATAATCTCTTAAAAATCCAACCAAACGTAATTTCAGAATCGGTCCCAGAATGATTATCAAAATAATATAATTTTTACTTTTTATTGAAAATAAAATCATTTTAAAACTAATTCCAAACGCACTCTATGTATTTTTTTTTGGCAAGAATACGTGAGCTTAAAATATGGTTTGATGATCTGTCATTCCAGCGCTCGAAAACCTATTTCGATAAGAAGAGTTTTTTAAATTCGAGCTTTATGTGTGCTCGTCGTTAGTGTGCCTCAAGTGTGCATATGTCCATCTAATGGATCATTGATGTTACGGTTGGGGTAAGAATTCATGTCATGATTTGAATCATGATTCGTAACGCACTATAATATTTTATCTCATAAAAAATATATATAAATTGAAAATGATTCTGAATTATAATTATAAATTCTTAAATATTTATTAATATTATACCGAAATGACTGTTTATTAATTTTTAATAAATTCATGTCATGATTTGAATCATGATTCGTAACGCACTATAATATTTTATCTCATAAAAAATATATATAAATTAAAAATGATTCTGAATTATAATTATAAATTTTTAAATATTTATTAATATTATACCGAAATGACTGTTTATTAATTTTTAATTGAATGTAATTTCCCTTTCAAAAAAAATACGGTCTTTTTTTTTTTGGCGGAAAATTAAAGAAAGGGTCTGACAAAAGAAGAGAGGAAAAAAAAAAAGGACGAAAAAATCTAAGCTTAGCTGGATATAACGTGGGAAATCCATTAAATTAAATCCAAATCCAACTAAACCAGCTTCCAAAACCCAAACACTCCCTTAACCCACTTGCCAACCCAACTCTCACTCCCGTCTCCTCCGACCCTCTCTCTTTCTCTCTCTTCTCGATCTTTCCCCTCCAATTTCCCTCTCTCTCTCTCTCTCTCTCTCTGCAATTCCGTGTCTGACCAGCTTCGGGTCTTCGTCTTCTCAACAGGAACCAGAGAGAGAGAAACTGGATCTACCTCCCTTTCTTCACAATCTGCTCTTTTCCGTCTCGATTCTTCTTCGCAATCGCCTTTGAATCTCCTTTTCTTTCCGACGCGGTTTTTCAGATTTGTGTATTTCTTCATTTGTATCTTGCTGTGAGGTGTTTTAGATTATTTCTAGGTTTGGTCCCGAGTTTCTGTGTTCTTCAGTATTCTGTTTCCTTCTAGGGTTTAGTTCTTGAGGAGTTGCCATGGTGGGTTCCGCGAGTCTGAACGGGTCTTCGCCGGCGAAGAAGTACGGCATCACGAAGCCTATCTCCTTTGCGGGTCCCACCGATGCGGATCTTCAACGAAACGTTGAATTGGAGAAGGTAATTTTATTTTATTTGTCATTTTTGGAAGTTTTAATTTGGAATTTCCTAGTGTTTAGTTTCCTTTGTGAATTAGTTATAGTTTAAATTCTTTGTGAAAAAATTCGCAGTTCTTGATTGATTCGGGGCTTTACGAGAGCAAAGAGGAAACTTCGAAGAGAGAGGAGGTTCTTGGCCGTATTACGGAGGTAATCAATCGTTTTCATTTATCATTTCTGCGTATTACCCATTTGTGAGTCCAGGTAGACCTTGCTAAAGTATATGAATTTGACAATATTGGATATATTTGGCGGTTTAATGCATTATCAACAATTATTTATTTATTTAATTTAAGGCTCTATTTAACGTGTATTTGTAATCCAAATTTTTCTTCGTGCTTGTTCTGGAATGGTATTTTTTTTGTTTATTTTGTGACTATAATTTTTTTAGTGATGATGAGCTTGTTTTGTCAGATGACTCAGATCTGGATGAATATTCATGCAGTGCGATCTATATTACTTTGTCTTTTTTGTGGAGTGGAAATGCATTATGCCATATTCGTTGCTCAGTTTTCTACTAGTTTTACAAGTTTCCTTGATGCTCTTCACGTTTATTTATTAATTATTATTGATTATTTAAAATTGATGTTGCCATCTTCTCATTAGACATCTTTAGTATTTTATATGATGTTTCCCTTGCATTGGATGCTTTTCATTGTACAATGAGTTATCACCAAATTAACGTTCGCGCAGATTGTAAAAGATTGGGTGAAGCTGTTGACTCGGCAAAGAGGCTACACCGATCAAATGGTCGAGGATGCAAATGCTGCCATTTTCACCTTTGGCTCCTACCGATTAGGAGTAAGTGGAAGTTTATGATTTTTCTTTCAAATGATGTAAGAGAAGTTGTCTTTTTTGTTGTTTTATCCTTGCCCTTGTTACTGTCTACAGGGTTTCAGGGTCCAAAAGTGGAGTTGCAAATTCTTATATCATGTAACCTTACAAATAAGGCATCTTAATTTTTAACCTTTTTTTTTCTTGATCTTTTCTAGAGGGTTATCTTCTATCGTCTGGAGTTAACAGGATAGATTTAAGGCCTGTATTCTTGATGTGGATTCCAAAGCTGATAGTTTAAATTTGACAAACAAGGATCTGTGTTTCATCTTGAGGAAACTTTTTGACAGGCACACTGAAGGCACCTATTCTTATATCATGTTTACTCAACAATGCAGCCGATGAGGGTGAACTAAGCCAGAATTTATCCTCGAAATTGTTGGGTGTTCTTCCATGTCTAGTTGCTAGCATATAATAAAGCTGCACAACGCTTCATACTTCAATCAGTGGAAAGCAAGTGACTTCTTAAAAACATAGCAACTCCTACGCCTGTAACTGTAGTGCATCAACTAACGCTCTTTTTATCATTAAGGGACTTTTCTCTGCAAATACTGGAAATATGATGCATACCGCAGGGTCAAATTTTCTTTAGTTTTTATGTTACTGAAAGTTGAACTACAAAATGTGAATTCCACTTTTTTTTTTTGTGTAACATTGTTGCTGCCTTGCCATAATATTTTTTTCTTTAATTATTCTTCACTGAAATACCCGTTGTCTATGATTATATATTTGAAGATATAGCAATTAATTTATATTTTTGACAGGTTCATGGGCCTGGGGCTGACATAGACACCCTGTGTGTTGGGCCATCCTACGTGAATCGAGAGGTGATTACATGTATTTATGAATCCTGATTTTTGTGTAGTGGATTTATTTCCCTAAATCTTTATCCAACACACTTTTGTATTTTTCCAGGAAGATTTTTTTATCGTTTTGCATAATATCTTGGCTGAAATAGAAGAAGTTACAGAACTTCAACCGGTTCCTGATGCCCATGTCCCAGTAATGAAGTTCAAGTTCCAAGGAATATCAATTGATCTTCTTTATGCGAGCATATCACGTTTGGTTGTTCCAGAAGTAAGTTTATAGTATAACTTCTTTATCTATATCTGTGTTATTCAAATGGTATGTGTTTTACATACTTGTGTATATTTATGCTGTTTGTATTTTGTAAGCTATGTGACCACATGAGCAATACTAAACGACTCGATTCAAGCCCATGTGATTTATGTTTTGCCCGACACACACTTTCTTTATAGTGCATCCTTGTAAACTATTGACTTTTGATGATAGCATGAGCGGCAGTTAGCAATTTGAATTGAATTTGGATGCTTGTTCTTGTTTTCATTTATTGGGCTAGCACTGTGACTATGGAACTAACTTTTGAACAGGATCTGGATATCTCTCATGGGTCTGTACTATTTGACGTGGATGAACAAACTGTCAGAAGTCTTAATGGATGCAGGGTTGCTGATCAAATTCTGAAACTTGTCCCCAATATTGAGGTGAGTCTATCGTATATTTTTATCCTGGTTTGCATACTTTCATGTTTTATTGTAGTAACACTTGCTTTTCTATGTAATTGTAGCATTTCCGGACCACACTCAGATGTTTAAAGTTTTGGGCTAAAAGGCGTGGTGTTTATTCAAACGTAAGATTGGTGCATTTCTTAATTGCACTGACTCATTCATATTAGTCATTTCTCTGCCTTTTATTTTTGATTCACTTGTTTTCCCTCATATAGGTCACTGGATTCCTTGGTGGTGTGAATTGGGCTCTTCTAGTTGCTCGAGTATGTCAACTTTACCCCAATGCAATCCCTAGTATGCTAGTTTCTAGATTTTTCAGGGTATATACACAGTGGCGATGGCCAAATCCTGTGATGCTCTGTTCAATTGAGGAGAATGAACTTGGATTCCCCATCTGGGATCCCCGTAAAAACCCTCGGGATCGATTTCATCTTATGCCCATAATTACTCCTGCATACCCTTGCATGAACTCTAGTTATAATGTTTCAACAAGTACTTTACGAGTTATGATGGAGCAGTTTCAATGCGGGAACAAGATCTGTGAGGTGAGAGAGAACATAATTCCCCCCACCCACTTCCCCAAAAAGAAAAAAAGGAAAAAAAAAATTTCCTGGCTACATTTGACTGGAGTTCCTTACCCTGCTGGTTTTGACAGGATATTGAGCTGAGCAAAGTCCGGTGGAGTGCTCTGTTTGACCCTTATATTTTTTTCGAGGCATACAAAAACTATTTGCAGGTGGACATACTTGCGGCAGATGCGGACGATTTGCTAGCATGGAAGGGATGGGTGGAATCTCGACTTAGGCAGCTTACTCTTAAGGTAAAATCTATTTCTTTCATGTTGTTGTTAACTTGTTATAGTAAGAGTATGTTTCTCTAATATGTTATTTGTGTTCATTATGCTTTGGTCTTTTAAGAAAAGAAAAACTTTTATATGGTTTTTGTTAACGTTTCCCAATTTTTCTTGAGCAGATAGAGCGAGACACAAATGGGATGTTGCAGTGCCATCCTTACCCACATGAGTATATAGACACATCAAGGCCATGTTCACATTGTGCTTTCTTCATGGGCTTGCAGAGGAAAGAGGGAGTGAGAGGTCAAGAAGGACAGCAATTTGACATTAGGGGTACAGTTGATGAGTTTAGGCAAGAGGTAAACATGTATATGTTCTGGAAACCTGGGATGGATATTTATGTTTCACATGTTCGTAGAAAGCAGCTCCCCACTTTTGTTTTCCCCGATGGGTATAAGCGACCTCGATTGTCGAGACATGTAATCCCACAGGCTATAAAAACTTGTGAAGATACTGTGGGGTGCCAGCCTTGCGCTACTGAAAAGAAGAGAAAAAATGATTCTGAGGCAGTGGATGTGAAGTCAATCAAACCAGAGAAGCGGGCTTCTATTAGCCCACAACGGGTAGCTTCTCTTTCTCCAGAAAATAGTACTAGTAGGTCTGGTGGGGTTGGATTAGAGCGCCTTAGAACTGGTGTTGCACATTTGAGCTCTGAGGTTGGGCCGTCTGGTGAACTGTTGGAAAGTGAAAAGCATTTTGTTCAGAATGATGTGGAGATGGTTCAAAATGCCGTGCAAGAATCTGTTTCTCTAAAAGAGCAGGGATCTACATGTGTGTCTAATTTGCTTGGACAGGTTAATGAGGTAAAGCCAGTGGAACTCGTGGATAGGATGGAGTCTGATGTCTCATCTGAGGTATCTGTTTCAGAGCTCAAGGAAACACATCAGGTTGGACTTGATGGAGAAAGAGTTGGAAATTTGGTTGACACTGAGTTTGGAAATTACACCTGCCGGGAGGATCCTGAATTGGACAGAAGGTGCTGTTGATGTCGACTGAGATATAGTCAAAGTATGTAATCAAACGACAATGATAGAGAATGCTGAAAGTACGTTTAAGTCAAAATCTAGTGTGAAGAACCTCAATTGCGAGGTGAGTTTCTCCATTTGAAGACTTTGGATTAGGAATTGTTGCGGATGGCTGTGAGAAACTGGAAGTGCTGGAGATAGTGAGTCAGGGATCTTTGCAGGGTGATGTTGCGGATTCAGATTTGCTTTCGGATGGCGCCACCACTGTTTGTGTGGTACTTAAGAACCAATTGTCAGAAGAAATTAGAGGTCTTTCTCTTAAACTTGAGTTTTTTATCGCTAAGTCTTTTAGGAACTTATAGTTATTGCTTTTTTACCTCTTTCGTTTTCAATGATTTCAAATACCATCACGTTTCTCAAGCCTTGTGAATGCACTTCTATTTGTACCCTTCACAATTAATCTGCAATAGTTGGGTTCAGAGTCGTAGGGATCAACATGTTTGTTTATAGTTGGTTCTATAACGTCCATGTTTTCTTTTGCAAAGATGTTGCCAGATCTTCTACGCAGCTTTTGAAAAATGGTAATCTATTTACACAATCTTCTAAATTGTGCATATGTGGTGGCAGGTCATGCACCGCGATGTGTTATATTTGCAGAAACTGTGCTCTCCTTTTTTTATTTTTTATTTTATTTTTTTTATTTGTGCAGCATGTGTGACTAAGCACGATCCTTCTTTTTTTCCTCTTTGTTTTATCAGGAACCTAATCAAGTCTTGAACTCTTTGTTTGGTATAGCCAAATGTTGCATTCGATTATGTTGCCATTTCTCAAGATGGAGCTAGGTCAGATTCTATATTACAGATAACAGTGACAAGGCATGTCTTTGAAACTCAATATCTTTCTATACCAGTCATTATATCTTTATACTGGCCTGGTTGGTTGTGTGTGGATCTTCTGTATCAGGTTAAGTCTGAGGTCCAGAGTGTAAAGAACATCTGAGGTGAATCATAGAACAAGAGTCACTCATGCGAAGAAGAAAGCCAGCACCTTGGTAAGTGCCTCATTGATTGGTGGCTTTCGTGGCTCTCATTGTGGTTTTCCAGGTGTGGATGTGCACAAGATCAGGCGGACCTGGAGTGAAGGTTGGGGCTACCACCGACCTGACGCGCATCTGGGCGGTCTAACTTATGGTTTGAGAGATTTAACAGGTGTTGGATTTGCGATGTTGTTGAAGCTGCAAGCACCTAAGAAGCTACAGGCGCATGCTGGTGCTTTAAAGACTTCATGGCCTTGTTGTTTGAGCTCTTTTTCTTGTGGCTATATAGCTTTACTGGTGTCGGATGTACCCTAGTCTTTTTATGAGATTTATATTAACTTGGACAAATTAGCAGCCAAGCTCAATGCTTGGGCTGTAGAATGGATTCTCTCGTCTAACCCGCGTCTATTGTAACAGTCTGTATCTTGTTAGTGAAAAACAATCGTTCATTCCAAGCAGCTTCTCTCACTTCCTCTCTATCTTTTCTTTTTTATTTTATTTTATGGTTTTTCTTTTTGTTCTTTTTTATTTTTCCCCCCTGAGTTCTATATACAATTATAAAATACACACAAATAATAGAAGGGAAAACCTACTCTCTATTAAACATTATTATTAGACTTTCGCCCTGAACTTCTCTCATCACATTTGTATGAAAGAACGAAATGTTGCCTCATTATAAATTATTACCACTCATCTATGTTCCTTTAACGGTCAGTAAGTTGTTCTTAGAACATTTTCAGAAGTACTTGTAAATTGAAGCTTGTTTAGACGAAGAATCATACATAAATATGTGTATGTCTTATAAAATCTTCAGGGGAAGAACTTGATTTTCCAATGGAAAAGGCCGCTGAGGCTGCTGTTGACGGTCAAATTTCGTCAATAAAAATCGGTCAGGTTACCTCTTGATTTTCCTTTGGATTATTGGCCTGTGTATAGTGAACGTAATTTGTTGAATATGTGTGTTTGTGTGTTAACTAAATCATGCATAGACAAACGACACGAGGACTTTTATAGTGGTTCACTCTGTAAAATAAGAGCTACATCCACTGTGATTTTGTATTTCTTTTGAGAAGATAACAATTTACAACAATTGCTCTCATTAAATCTCTTTTTTATTTGCTGGAATCTCTGAACCCCTTCCTTACTGGGGGTCTTCCTCCTTTTATACTGGGCTTCCTTCGCTTAGAGGGTTTCCTTCATGGGTGGAAGCACTCAAGTGCTATTCCTTGGTAGGCCCAGACGTAGCCCACTAATCAGCACTGTTCACTCAGCCAATTAGTCTCATATTACGGCTCTGTGCTTCCCCGTAATACTTTCCTGTCCCCTGTGGGGCGGTTTGAGAGCTTGCAATTAATGCCTGCAGAAGTCCTCCACTTTTGCACGCAACCCGTCACGTCCTCTAAAGAACATTCCCCTCGTCGTTAGCGTTGCTTAGCCCAATCGCCCTCTTTGGCGGTCCTTTCTGCGGTCGAGGGATCTTCGTGCCTTAATCTCGACGGCGCGATCTGTCGACGCCAGAAGGAATCGTCGCCCTAATTTGGACTTCGTGCTTTGGGCTTTCCAGCGGAATAGGAGGGAGCCGTGGACGTCGAGGGTTGTTGCTTGGCGGAGAGTAGTTAAGACCACGTGTCGCATTATCGTTCGTCCATGTGTCCGTCACATTTTCCCACATAACAGCTACCCCCTAGGTCGAGGGCTCCTTTTAGGCGGCCTCGAGCTTAGGTTCGGTTGTCATTCCGTGCTTTGGGTGTGGAAAATCGGTCCCGAGCCTTCGTCCGCAATGATGGCCTGGGCGCTTCGGATTTCCTTCGGGGGACGCAACCGTCGCGTTGATTGATTTCTCATGATGATGTACGGCCTTATTTCGAAAGGACGAATATGGACCCTTGGATCGCGACCTCTCCGTTTCCCGCCCTATTTTATCATCGTCAGATCCGGGCAGGATTCCCTTGCCGTTGGATTTTAAAATCTTCATCCAACGGTCAGGGTTGAGGATGTCCGTTCCTTTAAATACCTTCTACGAACTCGAGAGCCATTTTTTCAAAACTTCAAACTCTCTTCGCACCTGTTGGACTGCTGCCTTCTTCGCCGGAATCCTTCATCTCCAACCTCCGGTTCGTGCTTCTTGCTCTTCGAGGCGTATCGCGAAGCCGATCTTTCTTCAAGACTTTCCCGGGAATCCTTCTTCACCGGTAAGCCTTTCTACCCTCTGTCGGCTTTTCTTACTCACGGGCTCATCCTCTCCTTTTTGTTTGAACCATGTGTATATGTATAAAAAATGTGCGGAATGTAGAAGTTAGGGAGACTTACTCCGTTTTGTTTTTCCGCATTGGATAGTTCTGTCCCCATCTCTTTGTTGTCTGTGCGCTTCTGGTTTATGGGTTCTCGGGAACCTGGAATTCTATGAGCACTCGCCCCTACCATTCTCATATGAATGGTCGACGTCAAGTCGAGGTGTTTGAGTAGTCGTCGCTTAGAATAGCCATCCTTTCTTCCTCTCGACGTTAGGGTTTTAACTTAGCTTCTTGTCTTTTTAATCACCAGAACAATGGCCCAAAGTTCCCCCAGTCGAGAGGATTCTCCTGTCGTCCGTCCAGACCCCCATTTCTGTGGTGGAGATATCATGGTCTTCTTCGTCTTCCATCGTCGACTCCGTGCTGAGAGACATAGAAGACGTCGGGGCCAGATATGAAGCCATATACGTACCAGGTGACAACTTTGGTAGTGAATTTGACAGCCTAGAGCGGATATTGGACGAGGCAGTAGAACGGATCCCCTTCACGGGGGGTAGTGTAGGCGGGGTGGCTGCCTCGACGGTAGATGCCCCCCTGGCCGCCACAAGTGGTGATCCGGATAGGCCCTTTTTTACCGCCGATGTGGTGGCGTCGAGGGTCCGGAATAAAGATATCATCCGGGCTGTAAAGGAGGGATGCATCGATGGTAGGTGGTTTGAATACCTCCTCCCGGACATGCATTTTAGGACTAGCATGCCGCCGACCGAGCACCTCCCGGTTTACACCAGAACCGTTACGGCGGGGATGACCCTCGCAGTTTATCATTTCGTAAAGGACTATTGCCATTTTTATGGCATTTCCCCCGTTCAATTGGCACCGAACTTCTGGTACTGCTTCGCCGGCGCCTGGATTTTGTGGCACCAAAAGTTCGATATGGAACTCCCTGTAGACGAGTTCCAGTTTATGTACAAACTATGCCACGTCGCCAAATGCGAGGGGTGGTACTTTTTGAGCGGACACGGGAGATCTCAGCCTAGATTCGGGAAGTTGATACTGGGGATTCCCTCGTCGTCACATGGGTGTAAACTCATGTTTTTCATGATTCGCGGGCCTTTCAATTTTCACCCTAACAACCGCCTGCCATGCCGAAGGCAGGTGCAGGCGGCGTTTGGGAACATGGGTGAGAATTTTGGCTTTCCTTTACCTCACTTCGCCTCTTTCTGTTCACATGCTGATAATCTTTTATCCTTCAGTTAACCAGGACCGGCCGAAGTTTTCTGGCAACAGCTTAGCGAGGATCGAGAAGGCTTTCTCTTTTTCGTCAGAGGTTCGCCATATCGAAACAATTCTGACCAAGGAAAACCTTCGCGCCGCCGGTTTAATCCTTGATCTCCCAGACCCCGCCGATTTAGACACCGTCCATCAAGACTTTCACCTAAACGATGAAGATATTTTTTTGTTGTTGCTTTCGACGCCCTTCTTTATTGTGACTTGGGTTTTTCAACCGCTGACTATATCTTAATCTCATCGTTTCCTGTAGAAATGACGTCTTTAAGGATCCAACTCCCTGGCAGCCAGCAATCCGGGTCGAGCCAGCAGCCGTCGTCGGATCAACAACCCCCGCTGAGCCAACAGCCCCTGTCGAAGGGAAAGGAGAAAGCCAGCTCTTCTTCCCCTGCGCCGAGGAGTAAGAAGGTCAAAGGTCCTTCGATACCGGGGGGGAAGCATGCGCAGAACAAGAGGCGCATTGAGAAGATGCCAGCCGCCGAGGCTTGGACACCGGTGGTCCCTATTCCGGAGGTCAGCGCTCCCCCGGCGCTGAGGGAACGCGTGCTTATTCCCGGGGGAAAGATCATGGATGGGAATTTCCAAGTCTCGGACATTTCTAACGCCGAGATCGGGGCGATGCTAAAACTTCCTCCTCGCTTCTCCCTTATTTTCCAGGCTCTTTATGAGTCTTTCCTTGAGCCCCACTGGATCGCTGCCTCTCAGTCTTCTTTGGTCGACCGTCAGCGCAAACAAATCTCCTTCCAGATCCACGTAAGATTTGGATGAGGTTTTTTTTTTTTTTTTTTACTTCATCTTTTCTAATTTTCAACTTTTCAGAGCCTGGTCCTTTCCATCCTTCACCTCCTTGACCTAGTTAAGGTTGAGGAGCGAGATAAGGAGATGGACGACGTGGAAGCCAAGCTCAACTCCCTTGTTTCTGACGCTAAAAAGAAGCTAGATGATGCCGTCGAGAATAGGGACGTGGCCTTGGCCAAGCTGGCGAGTTTGGAAGATGAACTAGTAAAGTTGAAGGCTGAGGTCGCGAGTCTCACGGAGCGGGCAGACTTGTCCGATAAAAAGTTATCCGAAGCAACTGAGGAAGCGAAGAGGTGTTTCGCCGAGGGGAAGACTGAGGGGAAGAGGGAAGCCGAGGTAGAAGCTGCATTTGCTTTCGACGCCAGGCGTGCTGAGATTATTGAAGAGTTCAAGGCTTCCCAGGAGCTCACAGACATCCGTACCAAGGATTTTCAGTCTGCAGGTCAACAAATTGTCGATCTGATCAAGAAGGAGCATCTTGAGTGGGATATGAGCTTCCTTTACAATTCTCTTCCTTCTGCTGACGACGACAACGTATCCCCTCCTGGTGATGGTGAAGAATCGGCGGCTGCTGGCGAAGCCTAGGACATTTTCGTTTTTCCTCCTTTCTATTTTCTTTGGTGTTTTGTAACTTAATATTCGATTCAAACATCTTTTATTTTATCTGCACTTTATATATAAAAGATAACAAGTTTAATTTATACCTTGACTTGCAATTGCTGCTTTCTTAGAAAATTCCTTAGAATTTTACTAAGTCTTTGCCTTTCCTTCTTGGAGGATCTGATGTCGATTGCACCGCTTGGGGTCGTCGTCTTAAAAAACTCCTTGGAATTTTGCTAAGTCGTCGTCTTTCCTCCTTGGAGGATCTGACGTCGATTGCACCCCTTGGGGTCGTCGTCTCAGAAAATTCCTTGGAATTTTGCTAAGTCCTTGTCTTTCCTCCTTGGAGGATCTGACGTCGATTGCACCCCTTAGGGTCGTCGTCTTAGAAAATTTCTTGGAATTTTGCTAAGTCCTCGTCTTTCCTCCTTGGAGGATCTGACGTCGATTGCACCCCTTGGGGTCGTCGTCTTAGAAAATTCCTTAGAATTTTGCTAAGTCCTCGTCTTTCCTCCTTGGAGGATCTGACGTCGATT